ATAAGCTCCGCTTATAGCTATTATTTAAGCTTATCCTTAACGCTTATTTCCTGTTATCCTATATTCTCTGGGGTATAGTCCTATATGACCGTCTCTAGGTCGCTTTCTACCCTCTAACTATAGCCTAGAGTCTCTTTATTTAGTGATATTAGTGGTAATAGTAGGAGAACTTTATTAGGGAAAGCACTAAGCACCTTATAATATATCTTATTAATATTTTAATTAGGTATTAGCTTAGGCGTTAGGAACACCCTTTGCGCTAATAGGGAAGAGTCGGTTTTTCGGCTAAAAAGACTATTATAGTCTTCTGTCTCCCCTACCCCCTTATTTTTAGTAGGCTAGTCTATTTTATTATTATTTTGAGAGTCCCTTCGCTCTGGTAGTGTACTCTTAGGTATTATCCTAGTGGTGGTCGATACCTATATCGCCTATTAGACCTCTATTTTGTCTAATTCTTATGATTCCTTAATAAGTGGCAGTGGGATAGGTTAATAGTGCGCGAAATTAGGTGAATACCTATAGATTTTATCGAATATAGTATCGCGAATAAACCGTACCTTACCTAATTATAGGAATTAGATCTTTTATATATTTAAAGCTATATATCTAACTAGGACTCCGACTTCCGCGCGTGGATATATCTTATCTGACTGGATTTATTTCTATATATAATAATATATGAGGCTTCTGTATAATCTGATATTTAATAGGTTAATCTTTGGCATTCAATCACTAGCGAAGTCCTTCTGAACCTCTTCCTGTCGGGCTATAAGGGGAAAGCTACCACGAAGCAGATCGTGGCCCCTTAAGTCCGTGGGATCAACCTTTGTCCGGCTGGGTCAGTCGGTGCTAGACAAAGGTAAAGGGTCAAAGGTCGTAGGATAGGCTATAAGCAGATATAGCCTAAACGAAGGCAGAACCACAGTCCTAAGGATCAAAGGAAGAAGATAGAGATGACTTTGGAAAGTGGAAAATGACTTGATTCTATCTGCTAGAAAGAAGGACGTATTTCTAGGCTAGGATAGCCTAGAAATGACGTCTAGAAAGACATACAAATGACGTACAAACACTAGGCAGCAACATAATAAAGATGGCAAAGAAGGGAACCGAAGAGAAGCGAAAAGAATGATATCAAGGATCGACGGTCTAAGCCACCCCGAAGGCACCCCCGCAGGATCAGGCTATGCATGCCTAAAGGTGGACCATTTTACCCCTAAGGGAAAGTGGTCCGCCTATCCTTAAGGGACCGAGGGCCGAAGTCTGTTCACCGAGGTCCGAAGACTATGGTCGAAGTCTGCGGGCAAGGCATGCCCGAAGGCACCCCCGAAGGAACGGACCATTCATGCCTGAAGGCGGACTATTTGCCCCTAAAGGAAAATGGTCCCGCCTATCGTTTTGGGGGGGGTCGTGGGCCAGAATCAAAAGTGGTCAGAACTTTATTTTGGTGCAGAAAAGGTCAGGTCATGTGATCGATGCGGACTAGTCTTATATGTTGAATATAAGGATAGATCTTTCTATGTAGCATTGGTCTATATTCCAATACTTCCTATAGTGTAATCTAACGATTCTTGGCGGTAATATATATAGGTATTCTGTTTAGGAGCTACACTACTACTTATGTAGCTTTAGGCCAGAGGTCTTTCGGAAGCTTTCCTTCTAGTATTAATACCCTTATTTTAAGGATAATTATACCCCCTAGTCTCTTAGTATACCTATTTATCTCTGGGTATGTAGGTAGGCTATAATATATAACAATACTATCGGAGGTAAGGCTCTATTCTGCGGACTGTCCTATAGCTTTCTTATTATTATATTAGAATACTTTAATCGGTAGGTCCCACTAATTCTTTATAAGCTAGACAAACTAATTAATTATAAGCTAATATTAACTCTTTAGCTTATAGGTAGATATCCAGTGAAACCTAATACCTTAAATTGTGATATCTATCAGTGACTATTATACGCCATTAGTAACTAGATTAAATCAAAATATACTTATTTAAAGCGCCTAAAGGTATGTCTAACTAGCCTTCTTAATATCTGTTAAGGTGTATTACTTAGCTATTATATCTTATATAGTGTCTCTTCTTTGTTTGTGTCCTTAATAGTCACGCTATCGACTATCGAAGCCAATTTGTGCACTGCTTTTAGATTTATATATATAAAATAATAATGCCAGAGATTTATTGATACCCTCGCTTTAAGTGGCTTCTCTAATAATCGCACAGTATATATATAGGGATATATAACTTTTTCTAGTTTGTCAAAAAGCCAGAGATTTATACTATCCTATAGGTATACGCTTAATATAGGTTAGCTATTTATATTAATAATATAGTTTAATTTCTGGCACTATCTTCTACCTTTCTTTAATAATATAGTGTATAACACTAAGTTAGTATAGAAGCCTAGAGAATAGAGTGTGTCGCTTAAGGATATCACTCTTGTGGGAGATCCAGTGGGAGATCTAATGGGAGATCAAGTCTTTTATCCTTCGATGAATAAAAGAATATTTCCTTAATAGGAAACCTCAGGGTATGATATGATGATTGAAGAAGAATTATATTTTTCTTCTAGGGAATTGCGGACATATTTATATCCAATCAACAATATTCTAGGCCTATATCAGACTTGCATTGTTTTAAGTCTAGGCCTGTCTTGCTTTGAAATCAATTATAGTCTAGGCATCATTTTTAGTCTAGACCTATTGTCAAGGCATCATTAATAGTCTAGACCTATGTCAAGGCATCATTAATAGTCTAGACCTAGACCTATTATAATTAGGTGGCTTTTCGTATTTACCTGACCAATTATAAAGATCATAGTCTTCTTGGATGACTAAAGGTAATGCTGACAGTCCTTGATAATGCTGACAAAGATAATGCTGACAGTCCTTAAATATGCTGACAACTCTTTTCTCACCTATCTCGGGGTTTCTTTTAATTAGTTTGACTGTATCTTGTCCGGTAATATCTATATTACTATCTCCTATTATAAGGGTGATTTCGTATAATTTGAGACTAATAAAAAAGACTCTTATTATTATAGATATATCTCGATACTCCTATGTCTAATATCTAATAGTCTTAGATAGTTAACCTAACCTTATAGCTCGCTAAGAATACCTCTGTGCTATAATGTGATAACTACGTTAGGAAATATATATTGACTGAATCTTTTTTTTGGGGTGTCCGTACAGATATAGTTAGTCTATATATTCACTGTATTCGCGGAGTCTTAAAGCTTTTATTTAGCCTCCGCTGCTTCCTTAATAATCTTCTTAACCTATTTCTTCTATATAGGATCTACTATAAGGCTCTTCTTAATCTTCTGAAGTATCTTATTGTCCGGCTTATACTAGGAAGGTCAGATTGCCTTACTTAGGATATAGTATATTATAATATAGTGATAATAGTTTATATATCTGTATAGGCATAGCCACTTATTAAAAGGGATAGACTTTAGTATTAGTGCCTCTTCTAATATTTTCTTATAGTCTTACTAGGTAGAGAATAATCCCTTTAGTTCTAATAATAATAATAATAATTGCTTAGGACCAATCTCCTCATATATAGTATAGAATAATTTAATTAGGTCTCTGATATTATATAGCTTTCTATCTATAATAATCTCTTAATATCTAGCCTACTACTAGATAGGTGATACCTCTTTTATCGCTTATAGGAAATCCCTATTTATACTTTTAACTTCTTTAAGATTAAGGCTAATAGCTTACTCTCTTAGGGTATCCTATATCGATAGCCACTAATCAATATTTCCCTTTAGCTTCTATATAGCGAATAACCTCTATTTTATGCGAATTTCTTCCTTATACGCGCTAGAGCGTACAAAGCGAGACTTTAGGTATATTAGGCGGTTATATAGTATCTTATAATTAATTAGTGTAAGGTAGTAGATAGGATTAAGGAAGGATATAATATATTTATTTATATTATCTAGTCCCTTAATTTGCTTTTCTTACTTCGCATAGGCGACCTTATAGATATCTATATAGTCTTATCACTCCTTCTTTTTGTCTGTGTCCCTATCTTTAGGGTACTCCGGCTTATATAGCTCTCTTAGACCTCTCGGATAGTCTTCTCTCTCGATATCTGGGTTATATAGGTCTTAGACTCACTTTTACTTTATATATAGCTTCACGCGAGCGAACTATATACGCCACTGCGGCGAATCCTTTAGTTTATCGCCCTTTATAGCGGAGAGAATAAATACTACCTCTATAGCTCTATTCTGGCGGAAGGAATACCCTTAGGGAGGGTTCTTATCTAATATTAGTTGGTTCAGGGGTAGAGAGGGTCGAATATCATTAACAGATATATTTCCTATTGATATCGCAATATTAATTGCTTCCTTTCACCCATAAATGCCTCTTATATAATACGAACCGGGCTTATAACTGTCGGAATATTTTCTATGCAACCAATTAATGATATCTGAAGCTCTATTTCTGTATTACCCCTGATTCTGCCAATTTATAGGGGGATTCTAGATTACATAAGAAATAAACATGAAGGATAATTGTATCTCCGGTCCACCGCGGTATTCGTACTGACAGCTTTTTGATGCCTTAGGCACCAAGATGCAGCAGAGCGACTGGGTGTTGCCTGACATGGGCCGGGGGGGCGTGCCTGCCTAGCTGAGTTCAATTCTGAGCCACTCAATTATTTCATGAATACTAGTTTCGACACGTCACGGAAACATCGCCTAACTACGACGTCAGCTTGAGGAGCAAGAAAAGCTCCGTGCAGCAAGGAAACGGTCGACGTTGGCCGAGTTGAAGATCGACTTCCGTGAGTTTAGGAGTTCTTTCGGGACACTTGCAAGGAACCATTGAAATGTGCCTGTCAGGCCGGTAGGTGAATGAAGGAAGCCCAACACTGGAAATGGCTGGAATAAGGCGTGATTCGCTTCCAGGGTCATAGACAGGTAGAAACTACGATTGCTAGAACTAATAATAAAAGCTGGAAGATGACATGAAAATGAACGAACAGTGCTGGAAAGATGTAGCTGGAATATGGCAGTACCAACAGGGAGAACATCAACAGGACAACATCAACAGGACAACATCAACAGGACAACATCAACAGGACAACATCAACAGGACAACATCAACAGGACAACATCAACAGGACAACATCAACAGGACAACATCAACAGGACAACATCAACAGGACAACATCAACAGGACAACATCAACAGGACAACATCAACAGGACAACATCAACAGGACAACATCAACAGGACAACATCAACAGGACAACATCAACAGGACAACATCAACAGGACAACATCAACAGGACATCAACAGGGCGACCAAATAAACGAGATTGAGCAATTGTCTGTTGATATTCTTTATTGTCTCAGTATTCTGCACTACATAATATGATCTTCGCGATTGGGCTCTCAATATCTGATCCGATTAGAGGATTTTGGTAGGGCGAGCGAGGAAGAGGTTGGATCTTAAAACAGAATGTTTTCATTCATCGTGATAGCACCAGTCACCAGATAATTCCCCTTTGCCAGAAAATGGACACAAGATTGGGTACCAAAAAATAGGGAAAATCTAGAGAAGTGTGAGCGAGAGCAAGGACCGAAGGTCACTCACACCCGGCCTGACGGGTCTGGCCTCTCAGCATTCTCGGCGACTCCATGTGTCTGCGCCGCCGTCTCAATCTTCTCATCCGCACTGTCACGCTTTTCAGCATCCCGGTTGCCGTACAGGCCGATCTTGTACCATGGCAGGGCAAAGAGGCGATCCATGCTCTCTAGCGACTGACCCGCCGTTTCTGGAATACTAAACCATACCCATACACCGCCCAGAATAGTGACAGCACTAAAGCACCAGAATGTACCACTAGGGCTAATTCCTCCTTTTGCCATAGGAAGCAGCATGTTAGGTACTGCGCGCGAGTTACCATATTGATTGGCAAAGTGGAGAGTCATAGCCATCGAAGTAGCTAGAGCACGGATACGCAGAGGGAACAGTTCTGCTGTTAGAAGATACTGCATCGAGTTCCAGCCGAGAGCCCATCCAAATCCAGAGAGATAGATCATCGCAATCGCTCCTTCACTAGCACCCTTTTTGTTGGCTGGGAGCTTGAAGCCGGGGACCACGCCTATTTCCGGAGAAGCAGTGAGGAACCCGGCAATATAGACCATAGAGATAGCCTGTAGGGTAATGCCGAGAAGAAGAGCTCGCTTGCGTCCAATAACGTCCACAAGGAAGAGAGCACAAATAACCGCCGCAATAAGCTTAATGATTCCGAAGACGGCCGTTACCAGCAGATTCGTGTTGTTGCCCGTGATCCCTAGCAACTTGAACAAATCCGTAGCGTAAAGAGTAATACTACCAGCACCCGTCCATTGCGATAGAATCTGGACCATAGAAGTAAGGTAAACTCGGTAGAGATTCGACGGGACCAAGAAGGTTTCCTTAAGAACACCAATAGGACCAGATCCTAAGGAGGCCTCCAGCTCAGCTTCATGCGACGTTTGGATAGCAGTTATCTCGCGCATAATATATTCGTGATCTGCAGGGAGATGACGGATTTTCGAGAGATTGTAGGATGCCTGTTCGAATTGGCCACGCTTGACTAGATATCGAGGAGATTCGTGTTGCAGGAACGAGAGTAGGAAGATCAGGCCAGCGAACATGATATGGAGACTCGTGGGGATCAACTAGATACTATTAGCACTCGTAGTAACTTAGACCAGTGATCTACACATACCCATCGATTGTGGGTTGTATCGCCCAAGTTAACCTATCCCGAGTTGTTAATGCCGTGCATTCTATCCAGCATAAGTCAAACTTACCGCGCAGCCATAGTTAGCAAAGTAAGCAAGTAAAATGCCCAGATAAACAAAACCAGTAAACACACAGGTGCAAATACCACGGATGGAAGCGGGAGCCTGTCATTCTCAGTTAGTCCATGTACAATGCTTGCGACTGGCGAGCCACTCACGATCTCAGCAAGATATACAGGGCCCACTACTACTGTCTGGCCAACACCAAGCCCGGCGATGAAGCGACCAGCGTACACAGCAGCTAAGCTCCCGCCGTTGCCCATATAAATAGCAATTCCTAAAATCCACACTAGGCAAAGCTGACGAGTTGCCCAGATACGGCCGATACGGTCACAGACCAAGAAGGCACTTTATATGAGTCGTATTAGTTTGTCAAAAAGAAGCGGAAGAGTAACTGTGGAACATACAAGAGAGCGCCACCAACAGACCCAATCTGGACCATTGCCGAGACATTTCCTTTAATGTTGGTTCGCTCCACTTCGCTGTAGGACTCGTAATTGATATATTTTTGAAAGTCTTTGGAGTTGAAAGCGCCTGAAATCAAGCCCTCATCGACACCGCGAGCAGCGCCCATCAAGCCGAACGAGATGACCGCAAACCACAGCCGCCAGTTGAAGACCTCCTTGGGCTCATTCAGGTCCTTTAGGCGGAATATATTGACTGGTTTCTTGGCTCCTCCAGTCATGGTGGGCAACAATTGCGTATGTAGTCGAATGCGGTGGTGACATATGTATGAGAGAAAGCTAGGCAGAAGGCGACGAGGCAGCTTGTTCGAGAAAGAAAGAAATTGAATGTAGGAAGAAGGGAGGGTCTATATAGCCATCTAACCCCAGTCACCCATGCGATGCCAAGAGCATGGGCGCAACCTGAGAGTCTGGGGAGATCCGGGGTCTGGGGGTGAGTTTAGGCCGCATTGAAAGATTCGCTTTCGGAGGTTCAGTGACCGTAGTCTGGGCAGACTCGACTTCTGGCTATAAATCCTTTGAAATGTCGCAAAGACATCATTGCTGTGTACGGGAGATGCGATCTCGGGATTGGCCATCGTTGTGACAAGTGAATAGGGGTCATTTCCCCATCGTTTCTCCAAGGAGTGGATTGGCTTAGATTGACACTGTTCCTACTGTTCCTTGTATGTTTGAAGGATGGTTTTGAAAGCCCCGCTCGAGAAGTCAGTGAGCGGGTCTTCGCTCTCCATTGCCAGGCGTCATCGGAGACTCTTTCTCCGGGGAATCAATTATGTTGTAGGCGGTGAAATTCTTGGTAGGCGTCTGTTTCACCGAACGGCCACGCCACAATAGAACTGCAGCTCGAGCCTTTACGATGAGCATGAAGCTCATGGCAGGTAGCCGCAATAGTCCTCGTATAACAACGACCCTGCCCATTGTCTTGTGTACTCCCCGCTTGAGCTTATGCTTGAACGCCATCGCGCTTCCATAACCGTAAGTCTTCAAATATATTGCGCCAGACTATGCCTCAATTTCGCAAAGAAGATGGGCCTAGAAGTGGCACACATGATTGTTGTCCGTCGTCGACGTGGATATCCCAGTCCTACTTCCCATAAGGTCATTGGACGGTAAACCGAATATCCATAGTCTGATCTTTCGGTGCTCAGAAACTAGGAGGTTGTCGTCACGGTCGAAGATAAAGAGATCAGTGGGTCAGAGAAATGCCCACGAACACCAGATTCGCTGGCTAGGGACGTCGCTAGCCTCCTCTAGTAGTAAGAATGGTTTATTAGCGGAGTGTTCGACAAGCAATAGCAAATGGATTTACGCCAACACCAAAGGTATTCCAACTATGAACAAAGAAGAGCAGGCGTACCGTAAGATGATATTGGCTTTCTGCAAGGTCAAATGATGCAACTGAGTGACCATCCATTATTCAGTCTGTCATGATTGGGAGCATAGAACCCTGCATTATGGGAGTACTACACGTCTATTCAAGGAGAGATACGAACATTCACATTGCGAGTTACAGATATATCTCTTTTGATTCGATATACCTATATCAGAGCTGAAGGGGATAGATGTCTGGTTCAACGCGCGTCTTGCTAGCTAACACGCCTACTTCACTATAATGTCACAAATTCTGCTCGCCAGACGTACTTCAAGAAAATAAAAACGCTCTGATCATCAGATTATTCAACCAACCTCACGATTACTCATATTGTTTAGTTGCTTTTTCAATTCCCCGGCAGAAGCACGGTCTGAATCAGAGACAGCGAATGTTCATAGACAGTGAAGACGACACCTCCACCTAGGAGAAGCCTCCCTAGTCGCATTGTGCTACCACGCCAAAAGCCCTTGATACCATAATCAGAGAGTATACCCTTGAATGCCCCGAGTGTTCCTGGGGAGCCCAATGCTTGTGATCGAGTCTTCACACAATCGAAGGGCTGGGTTGAATAGACAGTGATTGTACCGGCCATTGCGCCAGTGATAAATGTGGTGAAGACACTGTTCTTCACACCGTACTTTTCACTCGTTTCCTTGAGGAAATTGTAACTGCCCATACGAACTGCTGAAGTGGAGCCTTGCTTTATTGTCGTCGCGGCAAGGCCTTTGTATAGGCTAGCCACCCCCCCCTGACGGACGATCGAGCGGACTGCATCCAGAGGGCCCCTGAGGCTTTTTTGGCCGCTCTTAGCATCATCAATCAACGTAGTCTTGATGCGCTCGGAAGGCGTCACGGCGAGAACACTCTCAGTAATCCCAGCACACATGCCGGCTAGAATTCCCTCGAAAAGCCCAGCGCGACCATTAGGTCCAGCAAGTCGCTCTTTGATTGAAGTGTACGCGAAGAATCTCACTCCATCCTTCCCCATGTTCCCGATGACCAGCGTGCTGCATCCTGTGTAGAGCGCGGCGGGCCCCTGTCGAGCGATAATTTGGCTTATCACGCGCAGGGGATTATTGGTGTTGAAGTTGTTGCGGAGTTGAACGGTCGTTTTCGCGAACTCGAATGGGTACTAGTTCGGCTTCCATTAGCTTGACAACCTCCTCTGCCTATCAATGGTCATTGATGGGCCCGCCGGCCCATTTGGGGTTTGACTAACCGTGACGAAGCCCTCTGCCGCACCAGCGATGGAACCAGAGACGAAGAAGATGGCAGGATCGAGAGCTGACTAGGGAATTGTGAGCACTTAATTCGGTTATAGAATTCCAGCAAATGAGGTTGAAGTGCTAATGGTAGAGCCATTTCCACCTACCCCTGTGCCAGCCTGTGTCGCAAACTGGCCCATCACGTAATTGGGCAATGAGCGAAGATGTCGAGTCTACTTACAAATCTTTAATATCCAATCTTGGAAAATTTGCTGTGCCTTTATTTAACAAGCATTTCATTCATTGCCCAAGTCGCAATCAAGCGCATCTTGCTAGGCACGGTGCCCGAAGCTCCGTCGATGTGAACGCTCGGATGGTCTTTGGCCGCGAACTCACTTGGGTACGGTCCAAGGTTTCTGCTAGAGTTTGATGACTACTAGTGTGGAGGAAACGACATGCGTTATCAAGCAACAGTTTTTGCGTAGCTCTCACGTCGCTTGAGAATATGCCAAGGGTCACATACATCACAACATTCTATCTACTTAGTTCAATCAATTACTTTGGCTACTTCAAGATTTGTTTCGGGAAACCGTCCATTGTGATTGCAATGAGGCTTCGCAAAATGCTGCGTTTATTTGCGACGTGGAATCCAAAATTCAACCTTCGGTATCAAGGGGAAGAGCCTATGTGAAAGTGACTGAATTCTCTCTAAGGGGACTATTTCCTAGTAGTAAACTTATGGAAACAACGCGGCGGGTCGTTTGCCGTATTGATAGTTTCCCCTGTGCCAAGGGAATCAAGAACGCGATAGGTCCAAGAATCTCATCCGGGGGAAGTTCAATTTCGGACTTGGCCTCATCATATGCAGGCTATGTGGGCACGGGGATGTATTCCCGTTACTAACATCGGAAACTGACTCTCCGAATCTCACTTTTCTACCCCTCCGTACCCACCCGGAATACTTGGTGGCGGAGGGTCCTCTTTGCGAAATTGAGCAATTCGTCTGGCAATTCCTGCCTCCACTAGCTCCGGTGGCGTCTGCTTGTTTTTCTATCGAAGCAAGACCTCCCGAATGTCTCCCTGATGCAGTACAGTACAGTACAAGCCAGGCCGTATTACCAGAACGAGAGGATAATTGGTCTGAATCATCGGAGCCAAGCCCTCCCAATATCTCAGTCAGTAGAACACATGCTGCGTTGTTGACAATCACACTCGTAATCAAGCCCAAAATTGCCCATATTCCTCGTCAGCAGCGTTTGTCAGAATGAATAATAGCTTGCCGACACCGCCGTACTTGGTTGCAGACAGATCATGCAATGAAAGAGTACGGTACGCGGAGACTTACTCTCCGTCGGACAACATGGTCCAGGACATCTCTGCCACCACGAACATGAAATTGCAGAATAAAAGCCGCTGTATATCTCGGACAAGCAAGGAGCAACATTTGGCTTCAACTGTCCGACTGGTCTTTGTCTGTTGCAACAAGTCACCACTCAAGTATTCCGCCTTCATTTGAACCTGTGACCGTTCTCTCCTCGATAGACTCGGCTGCCTTGCTGGCTACGCAAACCTTCCCTGTCTTTTCATTTTTCGATCACCTGTTTTGATTCACCCCACAACATGCCGGTGATTTCCAAGAAAGTTGATGTCCTAGTCGTGGGCAGCGGAAATGCCGGATTCGCATCCGCGATTTCAGCCGCAGAATCGGGTGCTCAGCGAGTCTTGCTGATTGACAAGTGTCCCGAGGAATGGGCGGGTGGAAACACATACTTCACTGCTGGGGCATATCGCACGGCTCACGCAGGCCTCAAGGACCTGTTGCCCATTGTCCGCAATGTCACACCTGGCCAGGCTGAAAAAATCGACCTGGCTCCTTATACTGCGAAGGACTTCATGGCAGATCTCGACAAAGTTTGCATGGGACGGTCGGATCCCGCGCTGGCCAAAACCCTCATCGGGGACTCTAATTCGACCATCAAGTGGCTGGCTGGCCACGGAATTCGCTTCCATCTTTCATTTAATCGCCAAGCTTATGAGGTTGATGGAAGGCTCAAGTTCTGGGGAGGTCTGAGTCTCAAAACGGAGGATGGTGGTAAAGGTCTTATCGCTGACTACCGAGCTGCCGCTCAGAGATGCAAGGTCGAGGTGTCTTGGTCGACTATGCTCGTGGGTATCCAACAGGATCCACACAATGGGACCTCTCTCGTCTCGGTCAAAACCGGAGACAAGGAATATATCATCCAGGCCAGCGCGGTGGTTTTAGCTGCAGGTGGTTTTGAATCAAACGCTCGCATGCGCAGCCAGTTCCTCGGACCTGGCTGGGACCTCGCCATGGTTCGTGGTACGCCCTACAATACCGGTGACGGCCTCGAACTGGCCATTCGACAGCTCGGAGCGCAGCCCATCGGCAACTGGTCCGGATGCCACTCTGTCGCCTGGGATGCCAATGCAGACGCGAATGTCGGCGACCGTGTGGCTTCCAACGAGTATACCAAGTCCGGATACCCTCTCGGCCTGATGTTGAACGTCGAAGGCCAGCGATTTGTCGATGAGGGAATCGACTTGCGGAACTACACCTATGCGAAGTTCGGCCGAGCAATCCTCCAGCAGCCAGAACATCTCGCCTTCCAGGTGTGGGACTCTCAGATGAAGCCCTGGCTTCGATCAGAAGAGTACCGCGAGGAGCGTGTTGAGCACATCACTGCCCAAACTTTGGAAGAACTCGCCGAAAAATGCGGACACCGCGGTCTGCGCGACAAGCAAGCCTTTGTTCGTACCATACAAGAATATAACCAAGCTGTCTATGCTCATCGCCGAGAGAACCCATTAGCCAAATGGGACCCCGCGATCAAGGACGGGCTTTCGACCCAGTCCTCTAAAATAGAATTGGCTCTCGCGAAGTCGAACTGGGCACTTCCACTGGACCAAGCTCCCTACCTTGCTGTCAAGGTTACCTGTGGCATCACCTTTACATTTGGCGGTCTCAAGGTGGACCCGCAGACGGCACAGCTGATAACTGCGTCTACTGGCCATCCGATGCCTGGGATTTTTTGTGTCGGCGAGATGCTTGGTGGCCTCTTTTACTCCAATTATCCAGGTGGAAGTGGACTGACCTCGGGTGCCGTTTTTGGCCGGAGAGCTGGCAAGGCGGCAGCGGCTCTGGCTGGTCGTGCTCAAACCGGAGCGTCGCAGCAAAACAACCCCTCTGATTTTTCCCACATGAGCCTTTCCAGCAGTAAGCTGTAAACTTGACTCTGTGACCTATGTTTATTATTCTGCGTCTGTCCGAAATTCCGAGGACTCCGGCCGTGTTGTTCCCATAAGTTTAGTATCTAGTATATAGTCCCTTTAGAGAGAATCCAATTGTCTACATACCATAATTCTCACCTTATAATGGCTTTTCTCCTTGCGAAATTACCAAAACAAGTTTGAAAGTGGGATTCTGAGTTGCAAATAAATGGAGCATTTTAATAAGCTTCATTTCAAGTATAATGTAGACCTGGCCCTCACCCGCGGGTGACCCTCTGGACCCTCCACCCGCACCTCCTCTTGGCGGGTGGAGAGTCCGACTTCTAGATCTGAGGGTCGGACATAGAGGTGCCCGACCATCAGAGGGTCACCCTCAGGGTCCACAAACAGGACAAACAGGTAGAAAACGTGACTTACTCGCTTTTGCATAATTATTGAAATGGGAACGGCTCGATGGCTGTCTGGCGATGCAGACTGGACACCACACACACACACACTGCCTGTCTGGTGTAGAGGACGCTGGATGAGGCCGTACTGATACCCTAATGCGGCAGTATGGGATAACCTTAATACTATATCCTAAATAGAAGAAATAGGGTGAACCTAAATAAATTAGGTAGATAACTTATCTATCTCTAAGTGTATATTAAAGATATACTATATACTATAGATATTAAATTATAACTAAGGCTATATATAGACTATTATATTATTAGTTCTCTATTATATATTATCCCTCCCTATAAAATTAACTATTCTATAGTTAAGTATAATTAATTTAGAATATCTAAGCCACTTAATAAAAGTAAAGAAAGATAGGACTAAAATATCTATTTCCCTTCATCGCGAATATTATATCTCTTTCTTATTATTATTATTTTCTAAAGATATAATTTTTAGATTAAGAGGACTAATATATAGCCTTAATATCTTATAGTAAAAGAAGGAGTCCTTCCTAAATATTAGCTTCTCTGCCTTAATTATATCTCTAAATAATTAGGTATATATTTATTATACCTCTTTTCTTTATAAGATAATATAAGCGATTACTACAATTTTATTTAGTCCGAAGAGAATATCTAACTTAGCTAATATATTAGAGTCTATCTAATAGCTATAACTAAGTAAGTATTTAGAGATTAAACCTTCCTTATAGAATTATAGCGCTATAAGGAATATATATTATAAATAGCTATAGATATTATTTATAAGCCTTAATAGATTTCTTAGAGCTTATATAAGGTCTTAGTATACTATAAATACTTCTTCTTATATATTAGACTCTAGGGTATCTAGAGTTAAGTGGTTATCTCTTATATATATAAATTATAATAAAATACTTCTCCGCCTCTTACTTATAGGGCTAATTAATCTATATAGGATACTAGGTAGACTAATTCAAAAGTTACTAGCTATATAGATCTTCTTTACTTAGTTAGTGCTATATTTCTTAGTATCTTCTAGGGTCCAGAGCTTATTATTAATCTTCTATATAAAGCTATCCGTATTCGCCCTATCCTATACGTGAGTCTACTACTTCAGAATATAGCGATATATACTAAGTATGTGGGAGATCCAGTGGGAGATCTAATGGGAGATCAAGTCTTTTATCCTTCGATGAATAAAAGAATATTTCCTTAATAGGAAACCTCAGGGTATGATATGATGATTGAAGAAGAATTATATTTTTCTTGTAGAGAATTGCGGACATATTTATATCCAATCAACAATATTCTAGGCCTATATTAGACTTGCATTATTTTAAGTCTAGGCCTGTCTTGCTTTGAAATCAATTATAGTCTAGGCATCATTTTTAGTCTAGACCTATTGTCAAGGCATCATTAATAGTCTAGACCTATGTCAAGGTATCATCAATAGTCTAGACCTATATCAAGGCATCATTAATAGTCTATCCGTAGAACATCTTTTAATAGACCAATTATAATTAGGTGGCTTTTCGTATTTACCTGACCAATTATAAAGATCATAGTCTTCTTGGATGACTAAAGGTAATGCTGACAGTCCTTGATATGCTGACAAAGGTAATGCTGACAGTCCTTAAATATGCTGACAAAGTAGAATCTTAGTATGGTTCTATTTATCTTTATTATCTAATACTAGACTACCCTATAGGATTACGCTGCCTTATCTAGTCTATATTAGGTTATTCAGATTTATATTAATATACCTAAAATAAGTCTATTCCTTAGGTATAGTACTCTTTGCGTAGTACGGGAAGGAGATTAGTCAGTAAGCGTAGTCTGGCCGGAAGAAATCATAGTATATATAGTACGCTAGATCCTAACGGATAAGCTATTAAATAATACTATATTATATATTCCTTAATTACCTAAGGCGAGGCTTACCTACATAAGGTAGATAGTGATAGTTATATATATCTATCTCCTTATATATAAGAGTAAGAAGGTTATCTAGATAATATCTATCGAAGTCTTTCTTTAACTAGCTAAATAACTATAAGATAACTATACTCTCTCGCTCTTATATTTATAATTTTAATATAATAGGTATAGGTATAGGCGTTATAGGGTCGGGAGTAGGAGATATCTTATAGTAGAGGTTTTTAAAGGATAACTAGGTTACTCTATGATAGTTAGCGATAATAGGAGGATTAGCCTAATACTTAAAATAAGAGAAATCTAACTATAATTTATTAATATCTAATAAAAACTATATTTGGTTTTCCTTTAATACTCTATATAGGTATCTCTAATTTAATCGGTAAGACTATATAAACCCTAAATAGGAAATAGTATAGGCTAATTCCAGTAATAATATTAATAGTCACTTAATCTACTATTAATATAGTATAGAAATAAGGTCTCTATCGGTTTATCTAGGTAGAAGTATCTCATATAGGATATTTATTAGTTATCTTAGAAAGTGTGTCCTTTAATATTCTTATCGAATATTTAATAGGCCTATTTAAGCTAGGATGATATATTAAAATAGTGACCTTCTTAATACTGTGTTCTTCTAGGAATTTTAGTATTACGATTCTTAGGTCTATTATCTATAATAATTTCCTAAGGATACCTATAGCGGCAAATAATATCTTTATAGATAAAGGTCTAAATTACTTTAGAATCTATATTAGTGAGGACTTATACTTCTACCTAGCCACTAACTAACTCTCGCCCTTAGATAATAGATTTAAAGCTATCCTTATCCGATATATAGGTAGTATTAATAAACCACTTATTAAATAGCCTTAGGTTCTTTATAGTAATAGCGGGCTTATATATCTGTATTAGGTCTCGCGCTTAGTATTCGATATAGATTCTGATAAATATAGTGTGTCTTTAAATATTTATAGCTAATAGTACCGGTGCTTTAGTAATATATAAGTGGCTTCTCGACCTTTATAGGATAAATCTATATATATACTATATAGTGTATTTTATTAGTCTCCCTTATTCTTAAGGATATTTTATAAGATCTCTATTCTTCCCTTCTATTAATAGAAGAGGTAGCTGTCTTAGTAAATAAACTTTATATAGTGTTTCTTAAAGTAATAGAATTAACTATAAGATACTTTTAGCGGTCTTCTTAGTATTATAAGGTATCGCGTAATATCTTACAATTTAGTTAAATAATCCTCTTTAAGAGGTAGGACTATAGTGTTAGCGATAGGGTTATTATCCTTATCCTTGTCCTCTTTTATTATAATAGCGGCACGCGCTAAGAAATAGCTCGCTTATAAGTAGAAAACTTCTATATTAATAAAGTAATTAATATTAGTCTCTTACTATTATTATCTGATTTCTTTTTGAGTGGCTAGACGCCTTAAAAGCCTATCTGCCATACTATTCTTTCTCCCTAATATATACTTAATATTAAAGTTAAAGAGACAGATCTATACTATCTACTAAATAATTAATATACTAAGTAAGTTAGCTATAAGGCAATTTAGTTAGGATACTAATATTTTCGCGCCTATTTCTAATATAAAGTAGATATTATATAGCTAGTGTCGGAACTTCTTTAGTATTATTAATATAGCGCGATATTCTAGTTTACTTATATTATAGGTAAGCTATATCTCTATCTATATACCTAATTTATATCGCGCGGGCTTCTTAATACTATCTCGCTCTTATATTAGGATAGCGCCTTAACCCTTTCTAGATATATCTATCGCGATAATAATTATTAAAGGCTTAAAGTTATAATTAATAGGTAATATAGTAGGGAATATTAAGAGCACTTCTTTAATCTTATTAAAAGCGGACTACTACTTCGCCCCTTACTAGAATAAGATATTCTTTCTTATATAAAGATATAGACTATCTATAATAATCTAAAATCTAGCTACTAAAATATAGAAGTAGATAGCTAAACTAATAAAAGAGTATAATTTATCTTTAATTAATAGGGTTAGCTAATTAATAAGCTTCGCTATCTTACTCTTTATAGCGCGGCGCTTATTAATATCGCAGACCTAGCTAATAACTTCGATACCTAATATAGTAAATTAAGATTCTTTCGCTAAGATAATAGTATTAGCTAGCTTAAAAAGATATAAAGTCTTATTAAGATTTTAGAGATACTTAAGGATAAACCTATATATTCCTAGTAATATAAACTTTTTATTATATTAGGACCGCAGCCCTTTAACTATAATATTATTTAGAAATAACCTAGTAATAGTAATAAAAATTAAATATAAGATCTATAATATTACTCTTTAGAACTATAGCACTAAAATAGCTACGCCTTATAATATTATAGTCTATTATAAAAGGCCTAGCGAGGTTTAAATAGTAATAAGGTCCCTATTTTATTCTATAAGGGTAATTTAGTTATATCTAGAATAGAGATTAACTAAAGAGGCTAATATAAGTCCTATAAATTCTTTAGCGAATTTATTAATATCTAGGGGTATATTAATATCTTACTTCGTAACCTTATTAATTAGTATTATAGTATTAATTAACTGATATTTACCTATGCCTTTCTTTTTTACTAAGAACTAT